GCTTGGCCTTGCTTGGCCTTGCTTGGCCTTGCTTGGCCTTGCTTGGCGTTGCTTGGCTTTGCTTCGCTTTGCTTGGCGTTGCTTGGCTTTGCTTGGCTTTGCTGGGCTTGGCTTTGCTTTGCGTTGGTTTGCTTTGCTTGCTTGCTTGCTTGCTTGCTACTTTTCTTGAAGCGCGGCACAAATCAGCTGGGGATTTGGGAGAACTTGCCACGCAAGAATTGGTGAATTGAGAAACCTAGCGAACCCTTGATCGTTTTTCTGGTCAGGCGGAACCCTATTCAGCGGGAACTGCCAGCTGGCTCTTTGTCTTCCTAGCGTGTGGCTCTGAGCAAATGGTGGAGCACCTGTCACTCAGATGCAGATCTTAGAAGTTTGGAGCTTTGCATCGCTGGGGAATACCATTGCATCCGCTCCCACCCCTTTGCCGCTGAGGATGCACACAGCTGGCCTTCGACATGCCATTTGCTGCTCTGGGGATGTCCTTGACGCTGCAGCTCGTGTCTTCTGCCGAGCACCTGGAATTGAAAGGTCACATCGTGGATCGTCCCGTTTCTCAGTTTCTCACAGTAAGTACCGCAAAAGTTGATACATTATACAGAAATCATGGTGGTTCTGACACAAAGCACATTGCACATCAATTTGATTGCACATCAATTTGACTTCAGTGTTCCAATCTCACGAAACGGACCGAAATCTCACTCCGTTTTGGGGTTCTCAAGGCAAGCGACCGCGAAAGAAACCGATGTTGCACGGAGATGTTGCACGGAGATGCTGCCAAAACCTATGGTGTTGTTTGTCCATCAATTTGTTTCCTAGGCAAAAAGTACGGAGAACAAACTGCATGATGTTTCGCTGGTACCTGGAGCCTGTGATCAGTGCCATGATGTTCAGCTCGGATCCGGACACGAGCCTGGAAACCGTGCATTTAATAGAACAGAACTGTCAAAACTGTTCCTGGTAGTTGGAATTCGATCCTGGTGCAGGTGACCTTTGTGACAATCAGAAGATGTACAGTAAAGAGTAGCAAAAGGAGCACATCTTCCAAAGATGTGTTCCTTTGTTTCTCCATACATCTTCTCATTGTCGTGTCTTCGGAAAAGTATCATCACCCACGCTTGCGTGAATGCTCCTTGCATAGCGGTGGGCTTGTGAGCGGTCTTCCTTCGGCCTTCCTTCGTGCGGGGGGCGATCGGCTGAGACGTGGCAGCCAGGTGTGTTCGAAGGTGTGCAGGATGACGAGGAGAGTTCATGAACGGAGTTCCGGGCGCCCTTCTGTATCCTTCTGTCGCATCAGTGTCCGGCTCTATCACACGCATCATACGTATGCAGCACCGTATGGTACAGTGGGTTGCGTTTCCGAGTTCTTGAGCTTCATTGTTCATCGTTTTGTGCGGCTGCACATGTGTGGCAATACTTCCCAGTCACACCTTTGGTCATTTTGTGTGATCTCCCATACTTCTTGTGGGTAGTGGAAAGAGGACCCAAAGGTCAACATCAGCATGCAAAAAGACGAGAAGACACGCGGACTCAGATCGACTCGGACTTGGTGTCCTGAGTTCGAGTGGTACGACTTGCTTTCAACGGGCTTCAAGCAGGTCTTGCTCTTTAACACCTCTCGCAGCTGAGTAGACCTCCGAGAGGTGGCGCTTGATTGGATCGAGAGCTTGCTTCTAGAAAGTGTGCGACAAGATCGGGACTCTTCCCAAGGAATCTCCGGGAAGACCCTCAGCAGAAGCTGCTTCATTTGGAGTAGATTTCCCAACAGGCTGAAACGTCAGCATGTCACATTTACACTGGCATCCAAAGAGACCAGTGTATTTTGAAGTTTGGCTGCTCTGGCCTTCGGCCACACAGGCATCGAGGCATACAGAAGCTTTAAGGCTCCATGCAAGCTCTGAATGAATGAGCTGTACCGGTACCATGCTTCTTTTCAAAAGGTCTTGTGTGGCAATATCTTGTTGTGCTGATGTGCCTTCCCCAATTCTTGCGCACGCGTTTTGATTTCTCTCAAACACCATGTGAACTATGCCAATTCTCCACTCACATTTGGGGCATATGGGCGAAGGCCTTCCCGCAGATGCCCAACGGTTAACGCGCACACACACTCTCTCTCTCCCTCCATGTGAAAAACTTGGACTTGCCTCAGGAACCGGTAAAAAGGACTATTCCATGCATTCCCCAGAAAGGGATTCACCCCGCGCCTTCGGGACACATCAACAACCACCCCTTTCTCCAAACCATGTCACCCCGTGGTTTTCAGACGAGAAAACACACCCGTCGAACCCGGTCACTCATCGGCCGCATCGACGTGATCGGTGCATCGAGCATCTTAAGGCCTTCTACAAGGCGCTGGCTGCCGGGAAGAGTGTTCTGGAGAGCCACTCCATGGCCCAATCCTCAGTGCTCCACAGCGCCAACCTCGGCATCCGACAAGAGGCAGATGCTTGGCTGCCGTGAACTGGTCCAGACGAGGTGAGGCCGGTGGGGGGGGGTTCTGCTTACGTAGCTGGAGGGGGCATCTGCCTAGCTGGGGGGCATATATAATGCATTTCAAGCATACCAAGAGGGGCCTGGTCTGATTCCACGCCGCCTCGCACCCGGCCAGAGCTTGTCACTGAAGGCTCCGACGGCGCTAGGGGTAGACCGACTTGGAACACACCGGGACGCTGGCCCCCGCCCCCACGTCATCGGCGCCGACGGGCCATAAGGAGAAGTTCCGCTATGTCGTCGCCGATCGAAGTCCAGCGCGTTCGAAGGCGGCGCCAGATGCTTGGAGGTCGAAGTAGGAGAAGTGGTGGGTGTGGGTGTGGGTGCAAGGGAGTTCTTGGTGTCTTAAGGAAGCAACATCCGAGACATCAAGGCTCCAATTCTCCAGAAACTCATGTTGGCAAACTCTCTAACTGGAGATGTGGGATTTTGTTGGACCCTTTTAGAGGTCCAAACATCATTCCCAAATAGATAGACATGTTTTCCAATACATTCTGAGTGAGGATCTACTTTTCTATCTATCTGGGGGTCCATATGGTATGCCTGTAGATCAGTACCTAGATCTTCCACCCATGCAACGCTTCTGCCTTTTCATATCTTTTCATCCATAAAATCAGCCAAGTTCGTTAGACATTCTACATATTCTACATAGTTGCAAGATCCAGGTGTAGAACAAGCAGATCCACCCCCCAAAAATACCTGAACGCTTCGCCTCGGTCGAAGACCTCATCCCGATCCCGAATCGGGATCCCGCGCCACCGACCCTTCAACCCTTCACGGCACACACATGGACATGGACCGCCGTCCACGGCCGAGACGGCGCTGCGCAAGAAGTCGACGTCCTGGACGCTGCCGCCTCCCTGGCCCCGGGTGGAGGACGGGCCGATCGGGGAACGGGACGGAACGGATGCCGGTCGGGGAACGAGGGACCAGTGGGTGAGACGAACGGTGGGGAACGGTGGGGACGGTGGGTCCAACGGCGGTCCTTTTTGGTTCCAAAAAACCCAGAAAAACGGTGTCCAAGGATGGTTGGCGTAGTCGAATTCTTTGGGTTAGGTATGTTCCATCCAAAAAGTAGAAAGCACCCTTTGGCTGGTGGCACGGGTTGCTTCGGTTCAATTCGTGCGACCCGTGGGTCCATTCTGGCGAGCGCTTCGTGCCGTGGGACCGGTTGGGTTGGAAAAGACGAGTGGCCGCGGTCATGAGCATTGCGAGCGACCAACGCACTTAGACTGGTTGAAGCGACCATCACCAGATATCACCGGTATCCTTTTTTCAGAGGTCTGACTCCTTTTGAGCTGGCTTGGTGGGGGTGACTTCGGTTCGGGGGCAGAATGAGCAACTGGTTTTTTCAACTGGGTGGACCTGAAATCTGGAGGGCCTCTTTACCCCGCGCATAGTCCCGCGCGGTGGAACTCATCAGGATTATGCGTCTTGCCGCCTCATTGATAGCTGCCGGATTGCGCATGCGTTTCGAGATCGACGGGTGGTGGTCATCCTCGGAGCTGCTTGGACCGCAGAGTCGCGGGTGAGAGCTCATCGGGATTCATCGGGTGATGGTGGTCATTGGTGGTGAGAACTCGCAGGGAGCATGGAAGCAAAACAAAAGAAAGCAAATCAGGAACAGACGATTCTCAAAAATCAATAGAAGGGATCCGAATGACCGGGGCTTGAATAGAAGACAAACAGATGCGCACAGAATCTGAACTTTGATCAAAAGAGCTGCGATCATCGTGTTGAACACTGAAGTGCCTGAAGAAATTTATGACAAGGTTGGTCAGACCACCATGCACCCTTTTGGATTTAAGCAGAACTGTTGGCAGATACATCAAAAGTAATTGCAAGCAGCAGCCAGCAGTTTCTTATTGCATCAAAACGCTTCAAGGTTTCGTGTATACAGAAGAAACTCCAAAGGAATCATGTTGAGCATGAAACAGTGCTGCAAGTGCTGTGCTGCTCGAAGTATAAGAATACAACATGATGCTATACAATAGAGTTTGGATGCAGAAGCAAAGGAGGCCAGAGAATGGCAAGAGGTGGCGGAACGGCACGGGCACTGGCGCCAGAGAACTATTCTTAAGATCAGTGAGCCACCCAAACAGGGGGCCCTCACTATGGGCTTCTCGTGTTGTTTGGCAGAATGGTGGGTGGGTCGTGACCCGCAGGGCTGGCCATGTCGATCTCTGACTGGGCCTCTCAAAACTCGACCGGATTTAGAAGAATTCGGGCGATGCTTTTGGATGACTCCCCAGAGATGTTCACTTGGTGTTTCTTTTAAACACAGTTATACCCCTTCAAAAGCAAAGAATCCACCGACTCAAAACTCCCACGTGTGTTTATTTTTACTTAAAGAAACTCCATCTTCACCATCTTCACCATCTTCACCCTTCCTCCAGACCTGAGGAGCAGGGCATGGGCAAAACGGCCATGTGTCGTGAATTCTGCGGTCACTTCTCAGCTCCGGGCCGGCTCTTCGCTGATCGGGTGGTCTTGCTGGACGAGGCACTGGCCGGAGAGGCAGAGGTTGAGAGGTCTGCGGTTGGGGATGTACCTAAGAGCGATGGCCTCCAACCGATGATGAGCAAGCTGTTGATCTTGGACTGGCTTGGACTTGACTTGACAGTTGGGAAGCCTTCATCATCTTCCTGGTGCCATGTTTGGGCATGTGTTGCTCATTTTCCAGGCATGATAGGAGGCGACAAGCTTCTTAGATGTTTGAGCACTTCCCTTGCAGCCTCGCTGGCCCTTCTGTCTGCAGGCGGACTTCAAGTCCACAGAGATGGTTCCAGACAAGCTCAAGTATGTGTCCAGCGTGATCTTCAAGAAAATCGATGAGAAGGTCGTTCAGTCGGGCCTCAACTCAAGCACATCAATGGTTGAAGCCTTACATCAGCTGGACCGCCTTGGATTCTGGCTACTTGTGGTGGATGGCCTGTCAGAGATTGCAGATCTGGGTGGGGAATCTCAGACAAACTTGACTGCTTTCCATCGGGATGTTCCTGTTCAGATGTGTTCCAGCTTGCAGAGTGGCCCAAAAGAACATAAACACTAGCGAGGCCGCGAGGCCTGGGGTGAGGTTTGGCACTCACTAAGCATTCTCAATCTCCTCCTCATACGTCACAGTAGCTCGGGAATCCTTCGTTTTCCAGACTCGAACAAAGCCACCCACCCCAAAAACAAAGGCTTGGGCCGGTGCCCAAACTTCCCACCTCTCACCGGTTCCCAAATCGCGGGTCGAACAGCCGATCCCGGCGACCCAAAGGTGGGGTGGGGGCGACGCAATGCCATCTCCAGGTCCCCCATCTGCATACATGAGCAGACATGTATGAACCCCCGGCACACCTTGTGGAGATGGACCGGATGATATGTCTGGCGCATCTGCAGGTCCCGAGATCATCCTCTCCCTGGATTCCGTTCTGAGCACGTCGGGCGCCATGAAACTGCTGCTCACCTCGCGGACACGGCCGCGGCTTGGTGGGCCAACGGCTGTTTGTGTCTGTTGAAACGAATGTTTGCTCTTGGATGCGGAGGGTGGGGGGGGTTCTTCTTTCTGACCATGCTGAAGAGACTTTCTGGTGGCCACCGGCCGCCTTCGTTTCAAAGTAGCAATGCCTGGCATGGCGACAGAGCACCGACATTGGTGAACTTGTTGGTGACAGCCATTGCCTACCAACTGCAGATTCATGCCCAGCTGTTGGGTTTTCTGGTGCGTTCACCGGTGGGGGGTCATCCATCCTTTGATGTGTGTACCGAAAACGGTACCTCCCGAACCCCATTTTCTCTGCCTGAACCCATAGTCCAAGCTGCCATAAGATATATAGAGTATTATATATAAAGTATAAACACGCTTGGAGGTTTCAAGTCCTTCTGAGCTCCTCGTCGCACAGACTTTTGTTGCAACTCTTAGTTCGGTGTTCAGCAGTATTTTAGTAACACAGGAAACACTTGCGGCAACAAACCTTGAACCACCTCTGGTTAAAGTGCTTGTACATCCAACAGAGGGTCATCTTCACCCTCTTTGACCTGCCAAAAAACTTGGACTGGCGCGGGACCGGGCCCTTTTTCCCTCGTTGGTTGACTGAGGTCTTTGGAGCGCGCGGGCTCCGGCGGCGGATTTCGGGCTGGGAAGGCCAGGAAGGGCTGGGTTTTGAGACATCCAATGACAGTTTGACACATCTGAAACGGAGGGATGGAATGATACATTGTATGAACTTGGACCTGGGTCATCCTGTCTGGGTGTCCAATAGACTACCCTACACTGCTAGACTGGACCTCCGTTGGACACCCATTGCATGATCCTGGTATGAAGTGGAGAGAACACTCGCTCTTTCGATAGCAACCCTGAGATTCGATTCTTGAAGCTACAACCGTGAAACTGAGAAGCAGCATGAGTAATGAAACATCATGACACATCATGACACAATGTTCACATCCATGACATATGCATGCCCGTTTCTCCACCAGGTGGGGAGAATTTCTCGACCCAAACACTCACCACTCCCACTACCTGGGGAGATTTGAAACATGTTTCGATCATGTAACATCAAATATGTATATATATATATATATAACAATATAACATCATATAGCCGGATTCCCAACAACATCCAACAACCATTCTTTATATCATGCTCTTTGAAGGGCCAAGCTATAGGCTATCCGCTATCACCATCGTCATCACCCTCCAGGCCGTGGAGCTTCCGGTGTCGCCCTTGCCACCCACCGCAGCAGCCGAACTCTTCTTCCGCAGGGCCAAGAGGCACCGGGGAGGAGGAGTCGAGGGAGTCGATCTCCAAAGCAAATCGCAACAGGAAAACACTCCGAACATGGGAACCAACAAAAAAGGTCTCTCCCTTCATATATGGGTGAGGATAAGGGAAGCCTGTTTTGGAACCTGAGCACGTGCTGACCGTGGCGTCGAGTCTGAAATCCCCCACAAAATCCAGAGATCCACTGGATGTGGTGAAAAGAGACTCCTGGGATCCTCTGTCGGAAGTCCTGCATGGCCTGGCCCATCTATAGATCGGCCCTGGTCCCTCCGTGGTCCCTCCGCAAATCCCGCCCGCTCCGTCGCTCGCGTTCCGGAACCCTTCCACCCCCCCCCGGCGTTCGACCGATGCCAAGCGGAAAAGCCCAGTCACCGGGGAGAGCGGAGCGTTCACGGGTGACGGTCCGCTGGGCTGAACGAGGCCCCTCTATCCTCAAGACTTCGACTCGGTGGTCACCGTGACACAGCCCTTGCAGTACGAGCCCAGCATCCTGGAGAGGTGGGGTGAAAAGCACCATCCCTTGCCTGTCCGTGGGTCAGTCGCGGAGGTTTCGGACAAAAGGGGAGAATGAGCAGTGGCCTTGAAGGGGCTTGAGGCAAAACAGAACCAGTGAAGAAGCGGGTTTGGTTGTTGTGCAGTGCTTAGGAAGAAGGCCAAGCTTGCAAGGGTTGAACCTGCTGACGTTTGACTTCTTTCCATGAGGCTGGCTGCCAGCCCGTTGCTCCACATTCTTGGAGGCCTTTGTGCTGCTTGTTGTGGTGCGAGGAAACATGTGTATAACCACAAGCTGAACAAACAGTTTTTGAGAGAACAGGCAAGAGATAATCGAGACAAGGATGACTTCTTTCAAGCATGCAGTGTCTTTGACTTCAGTGGCACAATAACGTTCTTGATATTCTTGACATGTATTCTTTTTTGGGGCTGTCCCGGTCCCTTCCATTTTACATAACCATTTGACCTGCAGGATTTCTGCTTCACACAGTGCTCAATACAAATTTCTTGCCAGCGAAGCCCTCTTCATCTCATGAAATACTCCATCCGACCGTTTCTGGTGGACACATGTTGACACCGCCCCATGCGCGACAGCTGCACGACGACCGGTCCAGGCATCCCCGGACGCCTGGCTGACGCGGCTGCGCTGGTGAATAGCGAATTGAACTCCTTGCTCCAACATCCGGCCCTGCCAGCTGAAGCCTGGCATGAGACGTTATCAGCGATGTCTTCGAGTTTGGGGGAGATGGCATTTGGTCATACCACAGAATTGGCAAAGAATCATATAGGTGAGTCCGTGGAGGTCCTCCATAGATGGAAACCCGCTTTCCGATGCTTGGTTCAGGAGGTTCAGGACTCATATGTCACGTTTCTACTATTATATATAATCTATTATATGTAAACAGCACCCTAACTGCAACCTAAAGCTCTGGGCATATTCTAAGTGCCGGCAGTTTACTATTGATTAACTTTTCAGAACTGTTCTATCATATCCGAATGTTGGGGCCACCATCAACACGCTGGTGCATCCACACACCAATCTGAGGACTGGAACATTGTCGACAGCAACTTGGAGCAAGAATGGGTGTGGATTTGTCAGACGGCAGTCTTGTCATCGACTGCCCGGACCGTTGGACACTTGGGGTCTGAGCCAGGTTCTTGACAACCGTCGACTCCTCGGGGCTAGGCGTGGGGGTCTCGAAACAAGATCTCTCAAAGAAAACGATAGAAGCATTCTTGAACTTGGCCTTGTTCGAGGGTCTCAATTCGGCCGGCCGTAGTGGGTAAAAGTAGATGAATCATAGATGATCCATTTTTTGGATGGGGACTTCTATGCAACCCCTATCCTTCGGGGCTTGTGGTGTCTCCCCGCTCTGCAACACCAGACAGCCAACAACACCAATACGAAACCTCTTCAAGATCGGGATTCAGCGAAGTGAGAAGTGGCTCAAACCAGTCTTGGGTTGTTATTTGCGAGTAATATAACTATATGAGTGACTATGACTGTGGTCGAGTTATGTCGAGTTGTTCTTTTTCTTCCTCAGCAGATGATCATACCCATTTGATAGTTGATTATGTTTGAGCCAAGACGGACGGTCAGGTGCTGATGCAATGGATTTGGAACTACAACCAGTGGGACCCTAAACTTCACGAAGATCACCCTCAGGAGGACTCTGAGAGAAGCGCTGGTCTTGGTGGGTTGCTCTTGCGAGGTTTTGCGCAAAAGACTTGGTGGGTTCATGCGGAGTTCAGCTGCCATTCTCTCAGTTTTTCTGAGAATCAAAGAACCCGACTTGATACTAGAAAGATTCTGGCTCAAGATCCTCCCCGCCTTGGCCGCACTTGTGGCAGGACAACTTCTTCGGCTTTCGCGCACCAGCTTGACCGCCGCCCTGTGCGCCCTCGCGGACCCTCGCGGACGCGGCGACACGAACGCCGGCGCGGCCGGTGGAAGGATGGCGCGATGAGGTTTCCTGAAGCGAAGGATGACACCGGATGCAGTGACACTTGGGGGAGTCCCAACATCTGCCAACATCTGCAGAAATTTGGGGTGCCATCATTATAAACCGCTGGGTTTTTGTTGAAGGGTGCTGGGTGGGTGCTGTCGTGTTTCTTCAGGGACCAGAAAGATGGCTTGTTAAGAGGCAGGTCATCAGCTTTTGAGACCGAATTCAAGAAGTAGGAGGACAATCTGCTGGAGGTGTTTCTCATTCTCTCGGTGGTATTGTCGAGCTAATGAGCTCTGAGTCGTAGCCGAGTCTGCATGAAAAATGAGTGAAAGTTGGGACTCGTTAGGCCTCCCAAACCTTCTTCAAGTGACTCCTTTATCCGTTTAGTCGAAATTGAGCGCGCAAGCCGAAGCGGCCACCATGGTCACGTTCTTCATGGGGCACTGTCACTTGATGAATGGTGATGGACTTTTCCAAAAGAGTGAGCTTTCTTCTTTTAAGTATAAGGGGTAGTGGTGTGTAAGACCGACGACAGCCGGCATTAGTAGATTGATGACACCTTTTGCCAGAGATGTTGCCTTCCCATACCTGCTTGGTGCGTCATAGAGCTATGTCACAACCTTCGGAGAGACAACCTGTCAGTTTTGGTATCAGTCCTCACTGAAGCGATGATGTTTACAAGCAGATATGGTGACTTTCGCATTGAGTAGCTGCAGAAAAGTGCTGAACGAGCCGTTGATCATGTGGTATTTCTGGATCATGGAGCTTCATCAGTGTGGTCTGTGAGCAACAAGACACAAGTCAGATTTCATGGTCTCTCCGTGACGGATTTCATGTGAACCTTGGAATGCACGTGTCACAGTGCCCCTCCTTCACTTGCAGGACCTTGAGTACTCCAGCCCGCTACAACAATCTCCACAAACAGCCAGTGAAGATCTAAAAGCCAGCGATAGGTCAGTGTTGGTGCCACGAACCACTAGGATCTTGATATCGGTTCTTGATCTATTCCAGCCATGCACAGCTCCAATGTGCTGGATGACTTGTTCTTGTGGTCAGCGGCGCAGCCCTACGGCCCTTTGAAGGAGCCTTTCGTATTTCTTTGCATGAGCATGTCATGAGCCATTCTAAACAAGTCATGTTGGCAAGTCCCAGGATCCTGGTCTGCCTTCCAGCCGGGAATTGGACGAGCTGTTCCGAGCGAGCCGAAGCGGAAGTGGCCGAGGTCGTGTCGTGGATTCGGTGTCGCGCACGGTGCGTAATAGAACACTCAGATGCCGGGCGTGCCCGGCGGAGTTGAGGTGTATCATATCACACCCCGTGGCAGAGGACAGACATGGACCCCAAAAGCCCTTTGTGATGACCAGTGGTGAGTAGAGTAAACCTTGGATGCATGGAATAGGAGATTTTAGGATCCGTTCAGGGTCCATCTTGGAGAAAGACCACTTTTCAGGTGGACAGCAAGGTTTGGATGATTTGGCTTTCGCTACTCTTTGGACTTAGTAGGATCTCTCCGTGAGTGTTTGCCCCAACGCTTGCATTTGGCTTGTTGGCTCATAAAAATAGGCCGGGAATCAGGCAATCCTGCTGAACAAATAATGGATGTCGGTGCCTGAAAAATATACGGACCAAAGGATCCCCAGCACATCTTCCCTCCGAACGGACCTTTCTTCACTCTCCCCGGCTGAAGAACCTTTTTTTGGTCCGAGCTGTGGAATGTTTGGTCCGCGAGCTGTGGACATTGAGTTGACGTTTTTTTCGGTCACATCCGATGCATCCGATGAATGGGCCACATCCGCCGGCGAAAAGCCCAAGAAACGCCTTTACAGCTTTGAAACAAGCTAAGAGCCTTTTTGTTAGGAGTTGATTCATTCCGAAATAGATGAACACGAAGTGGCTGGGAGCATATGTTAACACTTGAGCTCGCCCAGGAACTTGTTGAGCCAGCCGTCAAGCCCACCCGCGCTGAAGGCGCACATAAAATCGGTCACTGGAGATGTACACAGATGGACCTCCAACAACCTCCCACACAGAAGGAACGATGGTGCAGAAGGGTCCCTCCAAACAAAGTAGCCGCCTGGTCGTCGATTAAAACGAAGATGCTTTTTTAGTCCGGAGCTTTATGACCGCCTGGCGACACCAGAGGCAGCAGGCAGCAGAGTTGGAAGAGGCAAGGTCCCATGATCAAAGTCTGTTTGATGGACAAGTCTTTTTTGAATTATGTGTTTTATTGTTTCCTTTTTTTCTCAAGCAGCACGCACACGCACACTCACACCAGTAGTTGAATGCAGCGACATGATGCGAAACGCCAGATTTAGGGGCTTTAACACGTGGCAAACACCTCCAGCTGCGACCGTGAACAGGCGGCGAGAAGAGGCGAGGCCCTGCTGGATATGTTGTGGATTCCTCTTGTTCCTAGAACACCATGAGCTCATGTTGCTGAAACACCAAAAATGGGCCGCCCTGAATTTTGACGGAAGCTGCAACAGCATGCTCTCGTCCACCATGGCTTGGGCTTGGGTCACCACGTCCGCTTGTGACATTCGCTTCTCAGAGGTTCTTCGCTTCGCCTCACGACCTCCCAGGATGGAGACGGTCCCGGCGGTCCTCCCAGGCGGTCTCCGGCACGTCGCGCCGCACGACTCGTTGCTCCGCTTGTTAGCACATTCGCCACCCGCCGTGGCGTGACACCACGGTGCGGCGGTGTCCACGCGTCCGGCCAGGAGCCTCGGGTGCCAAGAAGGCCGTTGCAGCAGCGGGGAGTCGGTGTGTGTTTTTGGAGCATGGGCAGGGTGGAGCAGGGCAAGGCAGCGAAGCTTGATGGGGCTGACCGAACCTATGATCGATCGATGATCGATGATCGATGATGTGATGATGATGATGATGATGATGATGATGATGATGATGATGATGATG